TGCTGCCAAGTGAATCAGTGTCAGAAGCAGCCACAGTGACAGCGATACTCGTATGTGTGTATGAGCGTGTGATACTGCTGCGGCTGCTGCTCGACTGCCTCCTTGGCCATGACACAATATGGCAGCGCATGTCTCCACCGCCACTGCCGTTGTCTTCATCAACATCAGACGCACGTATTCCACTTTGATGTAGATTTCTGTTTGAGATCTGTCCGTCCATTCGCGCATCCATGCACGACCAATTTGTTCCTGGTTTGGAGTGTTGATGTCATGGTTAGAAATTTGTTACCAACTTTTGTCTGTTTACTCTCTTGTTTCGTATCGAAGTTGTAACTGTGTGATGGCAATGTGGTCGCCACCATTTATTTGAACAGCAACGCAAAGGCAAAGGGAGAGCTGGACAAATAAGAACAATTTCATTTTCCCGACTCAACTACCTGGAGTCATAAACGAGATTTGAGCTTATTCGCGGCAAAAACGAATACATCGCCCCCCCCCAAAAGTTAAATAAATAAATTGTCCACCCCAGCTCTCCCCAGGACCATATGGAATTATTGCTGTTTACACAGCATTAATGTTGAAGAATGTATCTCATAAAAGACATCCATTTAGTTTATCGGGTCCCTTAACCCCCCGCGCTAGTTATTTCGAGGATTAGCTGCTGTGTAGAACGCAGAACAAACGACAGCAGTTCTGTACTTAGTTCTGCTGCTACTTTCGCGTATGTCAGTCCGCAACACTTTTGGGAATTACTTAATTGAAACATTGTGTCGTGATTATTTATTGGTTCGTTTCAACTAAACCGCCGCTCACAAGTGTTGGTAGGGTAGATGGGCATGGGCATGGGGACCCAATAGCACCACTCATAATGTAGCGTGTAATAAGTAATTGCTCAACAGTTTGTGACTTGTTTTAGATTCTCGTAATTGCCAGGAGTAATTTATGAAACACTGTGAACAGTGGAATATTGGCAGCAAAATCTTCACGTCTCGTCTGTCTGTCAATCAGTCGTTTATGTCGATTTAAGTTTTCATGACTAGGGGAGGACAATTTGTATGCTGTTTTTCTCCAATCGAGGTAGATAAAAGAAGATATGACAAAACATGGACATCTACCCATATGATTATCATTCTACTTCAGGTTGTTTGGATGTTTTTTGTTGGACGACATAAAAGGGGCTATCAATGTTGTCACAATATGCCCGTCAAGCCGAACAGAAAACAAAAAACATTGAATGATTGTCTTCATATTCAATTTTGGTGTCAACGCATGAAGTCACAATTGGGTATGCCGCCACTGGCCAAGGTAGTTTCATGGACAAAAAAAAACATTGATGAAATTACTTAAAGGTTGAATTTTTGATAATAACCTACATATCAAAGTGATGATGATGAAGGTATCCTTTTCCCTCTGCGTTGCTATGTGAATGTGTTTTGATGATGACACCGACCATTATGCATTACCAAAGAAGGAAACATTCACAAAATAATGTGTCTGGGCTGATACTTCAACCGAACATCAAAACTATCATTAGCAATTATTTAATGATAGTTCAGGATGACTATATATAAGCTATAAGTGGTTAATGCACTCGGTGGTACTATATTAAGATTTTATTTAAGGGGACCCCCCCCCCCATTCTCGGGGTCAAAATTTTTGTTGATATATTTCGAATCTACACTGATTAAAGAATGTCTCTACACAATTTCAAGTGAAAATCTCAAGAACTCTTGAAGATATATCCGATTTATTGTGTCAGCATCAAGTGACGACTGAAGGGCTTCTCAAACTTTAAACGCGTTTTTCTCTAAACATTTTTTTGCGAATGGCGGGCACGATAACTCAAAAACTAATCATCCAATTGGTTCCAAATTTTGCAACGTTTCTCTGGGAGTGTATAGCTATATATATATATATATATATATTTTTTCAAAGGTTCACCATTTTGTTAATTTTAGAGCGAAGTCAATAATCCTAGTTCATACGAGAGCCAGACATGTACTCTTTCTAACACCGTTGGAATTTTCGGATTCCGATGATCCAGTGAGGATCATAAAATAATAAGGACTTTTCTTTAATTACAAAAAACAACAACAAAACAATAACAACAATTTTTTGTAAATTATTTTTCTTCTCTTTTAAATCTTCAAATATATATGTGCCAAGTTACAAACCTTAACAAGCATTGGTATTGATTTCCCAGCCCATTGAAAATCTTGAAAAATTAAAATCGAGAATGGGTGGGGTTCCCTTAAATGTATTAATTATGTACAAACACTAAGCGACGGATCATAACACAGGTGTATACATGGGGAGGGGTATATCTTATTGGTGTTTGAAACCTTAACCTCTTCAAGTCAATATTCTTATTATGTGTTAATATGAACATATTCATAAACACCATGATAATAAATACGAAATTATTAATTTGTCTTGGAAATTTTGATGGTACACCTTTTTATAATGTGCCGAATTCTTGCATAGTAGGTGTCAATGGATTCGGGAGTTACTGTGACAAAAACAGATGAATAGTAAAATTGTCATGTTTTTTGAAAAGGCTATGAAATATCGGTTTATTGAACTTAAACATCTGTGTTGAAAATTATTCTTGGACTTTCTTTTTAATAATCGTTTTTTTTTGTCAGGTCATGGAGAATTAAAAATATTTTTGGTTTCTTTTTTAAATTATTTTTATTTTTCAAATATTTGGAGTGTGAAACTACTACCTTCCAATTTTATAATTATGATTTTTAGTTACTTTTTATTTTTATATAAAAAAATTAAACCAGATCCGTAGATGGTAGGGGCCCAAAATTTTTTAATCTCCTTCAATGCCACTGTAAGTGTAATCATCCAAAGAGAAATTTATGTATTACAAATAATGCATACATTATATCCATTTAAAAGAATTGTCAAAGACATAGAAACCGTAAAGACTCGACAAAATGCATTTTGACAAAATAGTTTATAAAAAAATATCCAGGGGGAATCAGGTATAACAGAGGCATGTTAACAATAAAAACGACAATACGCGATAATGTGTTTATAAATTGTAAATAAAATCGGAAATCTGCACTCAATATATATTTTTTTATTTAATAAGCTTTAGATATAGCATTAAAAACGTTTAATATTGTTCTCTCTGTTGTTATGATATCGTAACAACAGAGAAAAATCCATCTGTTGGAAATTGTTTACGTATCAATTGTCCTATCTTTATACTTTTATGTCTTTGGAATTGTAGTAACGTTTTTTTTTTTTTTTTTTGATGTTGCATCTTAAAAATAAATAATTTCAGAAATTCCATTCTTTATTAAAAGCTTCATCCCATTTGGAATTGGGTTCCTTTTAAAAATATACCAATATTTGTTATTTACCCAAAAATAATGATCTGAATGACAAATTTAATATAATGTTATAATAATAACAATAATATATTTAATTCTTTGTCTTACCAATGAATACGAACTCTCAGTAATGACTTCTCAAAATATTTATAACAGCAATATTTTGCATTTAAATACACACACTGTGAACACATTTTAATGAAGTCATTTCAAAAAATTATTTTATTTAAAAGATTTCACATGAAGAAAAAACATTTTATAGGTTATTAACCAAATAAATTTTCATGACACATTATTCTTTCTAGTGTGTGTTTGTGTGTGTGGGGAGGGGGTATTATTTTAAGGAAACAATTAAATATGTCGCGTAATATGCTTCAAATGAACGATGTATTTTTAGCACTCATTATCACCAACATCTCTCAATGACATGAAACTATTTCGCGTACTTTATTTATCATCGGTTTTGACATTCAATTATCAAAATTCTAACACGACGCTAGCAATTGCCCTAATTCAGACGGCCAGTTGAAGTCATAACAATGGAATACAGGAATTAGCATTTGGTATGTGCTCTTGTTGTCCGCTTGCGAACGCCAACGCCCAGCTATTTTTACATTCCGACAAGCGTTGAAGACATCACTTTATTCGCGATTTAAATGTAACATTCCAAGCTGGTTATAATTTATTTAAATGGCTCAGAATAACAAGCTGAGATACAGCAGTGTTTTTATATTTTGGGAATATTGCCACAAACTGGCGTACCCGGCAGTCACTGTGTTTTCTTCCCGCCGTCCGTCCCCACCGCCAACGGTGTCACACACCCAAAATTTACGATTGTGTCGGCGGCATTTGTTCTCCGCTACGCTGCTTGTATTCGGTGGTAATACAACAACGCTGATGTGGCGGGGTACGATGATGATGATGATGACGATGACAGTGGTGGTGATGGTAATGATGATACCATTCCTCGTTGTACAGCGACAAGATGGTGTGGCCAAAAAAAGGGGTTTGTGGCCACAGTTATAATTATTGGTGTTATCAAATGGCATCTGAAGAGACCAAAAATCAACACAACTAACTACGAATATTTACGAGAACTCAACTGAGATTCTGGCGGGCGATTATCCAGTGAAGAATGTTCGCAATGTGAGCATATTTCAAATCGTTTGATTTCATTCATGTTCTGAATTAAGATGACCTGTGTTTGTGTGTGTGTGTGTTTCGACTTTACGACTTTACACTGAAGATGACGAGAGATGAGAGTGTTCACATGAGTTGCGAATGCGTCCCCCTTGCTGGTGTGCAGCGTACGTTCGGAGGGGTATGCTGGTTTTGTTGGAGATTCGTTTAGTTGACTCGAAGGAGGCTATAAAAGCAGTCGACTGAGCTAAATTTGAATTAAACTGCAAAGGGAAGACCGCCCGGAAACATTTAGATATAACCGCCAGAACCAACAACATCAGCAACAACACCCTTTGGCCAAGAAGAGGTTATAAAATAAAGGCAACGAAAAACGGATTGTGGATTATAAATTACGGTTCTGTGATTTATACGTGCGTTAAGAACTCTACGAACGAAGTTTTGTTTATTTGTGTTATTCGAAGTTGAGTCTCGCTGTTCTTGGCAGTGCGGAAAGCAAGGAAAGAAGACAATATGACAAGAACAATAACATCTTACAAATGTATCCTTGTTGTGTTGGCATTGTTGATGCCAGCTCTCACTAAAGGATTCGCGGAGGCAGCTTTAATTCAGCAGCAGCAACAGCAACAACAATACCAACAACCAAATAGCCAAAATATTCACCAGCAGTCGTACCTACAAAACTCCTTTAGAAGGGAACAGCGTAAACCAGCCAAACAAACCTCTAATGTTCCCTACGATCATGTGGATGGTCTGGGAGGCGGCACTCAAGTGGTGGAAAAATTCGATCATCGTCATCCCGATGGAAGTTATGAATATCGTTACGAGCTAACCGATGGAACGGCACGCTACGAAAGAGGCTACTTCTTGAAAATCGATAAAGTGAAGGAATTGGTGGTAGTCGGTTATTATTCCTACCGTATGCCAACTGGAGATTACATCACCGTCTTCTATAATGCAGATCGTTATGGTTACAGACAAAATCATGGTAGGTCCCAAGGTAATATAACATAAAACTTTTTTTAATTTATTCGATGTTAATTTTGCAGCTATTACAAGAAATGCCTATCCCGATTTACCACGAACCATTGAAGTTTCGAATGATGGAGAAGATCCTATACGACGCACGACTTCTAAACCAACATTGGCTACATTGGTGTCCACAAAACGACCAAGATTTTAGTAAAGTGAAAAATATGTGAAAGCTGATATTTTGAAATCTGTATAAAAGAAGTGTAAATATGTTAAAGCAGTCTGAAATAGATGTTCCTTTAAGTAAAATAAAATCACTTTCGAAAATAAAACAATTTAGTGTAAAAAAATAATTTGAAAGAGGGTTCACCGTATTCTAAATTATTGTTTGATTTTTGTATGCCCCACACACTGTGCTGATTGGTATTTTGTCGTTGAACGTTTGTGTGTAACAGAACAGTTAATATTTTCTGATGATATTCAAAAAACCAAATTAAATTTGTTATAATGGGTTGAGCTGATTTTATTTCAATAGTGCACCCAAGACGCACCATCTTACGGATCAATACAACATTTTGAAGTTGAGGGCAAATGAAATGTAGAATGATCCAAGTCGTATTTGCTTGTTTACTTTAATACTTTTAATAATGTTACTTTATTCAAATCGTCAAAATTCTCACTGACAAAATAACCAGATGCTTCTGCTTTTATTTCAATGATCAACTAAGCATACTGCATAGCTATGTGTATTGGAATCATTATGTTGACGTGTAATTTTTGACATTTTGACATAAAATGAATTCTCGTAATTCTATTCACCATAACTTGTAATCAGGTGCAAATAGTCAAAAAGATTTACATACAATTTTACATACAATAAACATCTAAATTGTGATTTGAATCGTGCTCCCAATAATGTCAAATAGATTTTACCCTTCCCCCGAGTCCTTCTCGTTTTATTGTTACAAATAATATGGCCACAGAATATTTCCAACTCATTTCATAAAGAATTCAAATGTGATTTCAAATCCGCACCAGCATGAAATAAATCAAATTGTGGTAGTTCATGGTGGTAATATCGATAATCTGGACTATTAAAAAACACACATGTATGTACAAGTGTATGATCACACCCATGCATGTGTAAAGATGGTGGAAGTGGGCATGTTGGGCATAAAAAATATGGGGCCTCAATTTATGTTGTGAGTTCTGGAATCTGTCTAGAGTCAAAAGTTGTGTAAATGTAAACTCGATTTGGGACAAAAAAAGTGTTTTATTTTATTTTTATATTTTTATTAGTAATATTAATACCCGACTATACATGGTATAATACAAGGGTTGTTCCGTCAGATGTAAAATAATAATAAAAAAATAAATAGCATATGTTTAATAGCTAACTCAATCAATGAAACTTCATGATGTCTGATTTTTGTCATATTCGAGGAGTATTATATTTCTTATGTCTGTAAGTTAAAAGTTTTGTCATTGCATATATTGCTTGACTGCAGACCATGTTCCAAAATTGAGTACAGTGAGTAGAAATAATCCTTACAAAATCCTCGATATCATTACAAATCGTCGATACTGTTTATGTTCGATGTGTTATTCACACCTTCCGTAGCATACCAACTATTCTCATAATTTGGCCACTTAATTGAGTCAATGGGGGAATCTTCTCTATACATCTTCTAGGAGTCACATTCGCCTGGCTCGGATTGTAGGAGAGAGGATCTCTCTTTCCTACGCTCTCTCATAGAAGCCACATTGCCTAAGTTCGGATGCAGAGGTGACTTTCCAGTGCTGCGGTCTCGACTTTGCTCACCTCGGCTCACTTGTTGTCTTAACATCGTCGTTAACGCTCGTTTAAGGTAAAGTCTTTTTTTTCAATCAAAACTAACACTCTTTACAAATAAAGTTTGACAACACATTCATGCACGGTATGTTATTTGAAGGCACATATTTTCCTGCATTTTATTAAAATAAGGCCTTATATGTGGCCCGTCATATCTTCTCAACGACAATAGTAATAAAAACTCACACGGCACCCACATTTTTACACACTGGTAACTATCATACAGTAGCCGTTCTGGGGTCGGAAATCATAATGTTGCACAAAGAATGTTAATATAAAACTAATACGACGGCATACTGATGCCAAAGTGTTGCAATACAGCATCGTATGCACTTCACATGCATGTCCATGCAAACAAACACGCGCACACACACCCACTAACTCACCCGTACGCTCACTCACATTTGCATATTCAGCAAATTCTGCCATAGCTGGCTGGCTCTCAAATGGGGCTGGAACATTGGCAACAACGATTTAAACAACACACCCTTCCACATTATACTATGCGATACGATGCTATGATGAATAACGGTGGTTAAATATGGTTTGCTGCAAGCCTTTGCCAAGCCAAAGGATACACTTATTATGGCCCAGGAACTGTAATCAAATCTCAGGGAGCGAACAAAAAATGTAATAAAACTGAAGGGGTTATGTATAATGCCACAAAGTCATGATTTCATAATGAATTTAACGCTTCACTATGCCGGCAGATGTAAATATCCACGGATTGGCACTAGAGCCTCTTAAAAAATGATCCTTGAATTGAGTAATTCAGGCTATTATGTACAACAGGTCCAATAGCATGATTGAATACGTTCACAACAACTAGATAATAAATATGTAGTCGATGGATGGATTTGTATTTAAGTTTCGTTAAGTTGTCGTTTGTACTGGAATTAAAAAACAGCAACAACAACAACAGCAGCAGGATTTGTTCAATTGATGTTTTGTCGATACCAAAGGCACGTCGGTACTCTTTATGCACACTCGTTTCATTAAAAAAATTAAATAGTAATTATTAAAAATAATCTTAAAAATATTTCTAGAGTCGGCATGAACCCGATTATAGAATATCCAGCACATCCATTTTAGATCCAATTGATTTTTTTACAATCAAAATATATGTTAGTTTTAAAAATAAATTAAATTAATTAGCTTATATGTTTTCTTTGATCAATGGAATAATTTTAAATTGTGTAAATACACACCCAGTATAGGTAGGATTGCATTTTCTTACCTCCAGCCTGTTCTTATCCACACTCGTGCTCCATTACTTCACTCCGTGCCAGTTGTACTATATGTAGTACTATTTACAGCTAAATTTAATACCCCTATCAAATTGTGCCCTACTATAGAAACAGAATATTACATACCCGACAACGATATTTGTATTTACCATATATAAGGCCAAGTAATTCCCAATCCATCTATCAATAGACAGACTATTAAACTATGGTGCAGATTTCTTTCTTAAACCCTACATGTAGTGTGTAGGGTATTATGGATTTATATTAACTATGTATTCCTAACAGAATCAAACGTTCCTGTATTGAAAACATAAATTTGTTCAAGAACACGTAAAAAATATCTGAAAAGAGCTTTGCAATATCGAAAAATTAATCGGCTTCAACTGCTACATTGTATAAAGTAGTTTCCTCGTCTAGGTTTTTATTACTGAATTTCTAAACTTAATGTCTGTTGAATTCATATTCTATTTCAAAAACACATTTTTCCATCTCTATATCTAGGATGCTCTCTAAATCTATATTTGTACCAGCTTCATGTTAAAAAGTCGTATTTCGTAAATTTGCGCACACACACAAATCCGCATGTCGGTTATAGCAACTTTAAAATCATTTAAAATTTTCCGTTTGAGCCGAACAAGAAGGGGATAAATGAACATCAGAATCTGAATGTAGATACATCGACAACATAACTGATAATCTATCGACTGCAGAATAGCATAGATTGTGCGATTCATAAGAAATTTACATAAATGACGAAATTTATTTTCACTTTGTCAGATATATTTTTTTTACACTGATTTGATGTAACATTAGTTTGCTGTTGTTATTTATGTATTTTGTCCAAGTGTGGGGGGAGGACGTATTCAACCACATGTAAACTATGCAATTGTTACACGAACACTGATGACTTGTATGGCGGCCTTGTTGTAATACCACAGTGGCGCCATAAGTGTGAATGTCCAATTGTCTACATCGATGTATTGACATTGACACAAAAAAGGATAAGCATTGACTAGAAACACGTCTCCGAGTGATTGGTGTACTAACACAACTGTGTGTGTATGTGTGTTTGTATACTACAAAGCCAAATGAAAATTTGAAATTGATTTGAAAATATGTTTGTGGCCATATAGCCGCCTACCCGTACCCATAACGGCCATCCTCCCATCTACATATTCATTCACATCCGCATGCATTTATATTTACATTTCAATAAATTTCAACTTATGTTACTGCCGCAATATTACACACATACAGATGCACATGCATGTACATATATAGACATACACAGGGTGTATATGTACATGCTGTCTACAAAGTACTCGTATGTTCAGAAATATGTATAGATAATAGATCTCAAGGGGAGTTGGCGTGAACATCCTTCCTGATTTCCTTATTTTTTTCCTTTTTATGTTTGCTTAGCTTTTTGTGTGAATGTTGAATTCAATCATTGCATTTTTATGGCTTAATCTCTCAAAGTGCCCCTAAAGTGCATGTACTAACATTTGTGTAAATCCTTACAGACATATGTAGATGTGCTCCAAATTTACATACATGCATGGTACATATTACGCACACACACGCAAACACAGAACGATAACATAAAGTACATTGCCCGCCTTAAGTCGATTGCCTTAAGATAGAAGCCTGTAGCAAAATTGTCTCAAAAAAATGTGTACGTACATATGTGTATTCTTAATATTTTCGAATAATACTCTTTAGTAATATTTTGTGTTCAACCACTTTTTTACATGCAAATTATTATACAGAGTGCGGCAAAATATGAAAATATTCAAAATTTGATATTTGAATTTTTTAATCATCGAAAATGTTTTTCGAAGAAATGAGAGTTTAAGAATCCTATCATAAATTCACTTAATGGAAAATATAATTCCCTAAAATTGGTATTTTCTAAACAGGGCGTAACTACTACTACTCTACCAAACTAAGATTACCGATATACCTAAAAAAGTCTTTCGACAATTCATAACAATTTGCTATGAACATAGAGCTGAGAATATGTCCAATAGTTTTTGGCGCTGTTTTTTTTTTTTAAATGTAACTCTTGTAACTGGTGAACTGATCGGTGGAGTAGACCTAAGTTTCACCTCT